ATACAACAATTGCGTATATGTATTTCAAGTATTAGAAGCTGCTTTTTTAACGTAAGACTATTTTAGGTTCTAATTTAATTCTAATAAAGACGTTTAAACAGTTTTACTCTTAAATATTTATTACATTTTTGGACACTCTTTTGAATAAGAATAATCTCCAGTACCTTCAAACCTTTCAACTACTAGAAAGTAGTTTCAATGCTGTTGGGTTCATTTCCAACAATTATTGGCTCTAAAAAGCCTATTAAATAACCATCGGTACGTAAAGAGAATAGTGGACACCTCGTAATGAAAATGACAATTGTAAAAAATGTTCTTGATCGGTGAAAATCTGATTAAGAAGGAATTTTAAATCTAACTGGATATTACCGCTACTGATACCAATTGCAGCAGAAATAAAATCATCTTAGTAATTCTTATCGATAAATCAATACGCCTGATCTTTAATCTGAATTCATAACCCAGTCAGCCAAACTTGCAAAGCCAAATTTTGTCCAATGCCTGTTATAAAGTTATGGCTACTAGTTTGACGCAAGATTTGCTATAAACAACTTGCGCGCAGATTCGCAGCAACATATTCAGCAAATTGGCTTGCGCAAACCTTGTTCTGGTTTGGCCCTGAATTTGACATAGGCCCTGTTACAAGACTTTCTGCCAATCTGCTTTACCATTTGCTGGCGTAGCCTGCAAAACTCAAGTCAAATACGGAAACAGATAGCTATGGTAGTTTAGACAACTTTTGTCATTTATTGTTGGCAATTTGCTCGAAACTTTTAAGTACACAACTGGTTATCAGGGAATGTCATTTTCTGTAACCATGACTAACAAAAGATTAAATAGTAATAACCATACATGATGAACGAATGAATCTATATATTTTTATCAATAATCATTATAATAACCTTATCGAAAGAATAAAAATAAATTGAACTTTAACCTAATGTACTAACGACGACATGATTACTGCTATGATCATTCTCAAGTTACACTACTAAAAATAGAAATTAAAATATGTTAGTAGATACACGATTTTTTATCTATACTAAAACGTCTCCAGCGTTAACTTTCATCTAATATGGCAGATGATTATGCAAACTGATAAAAATAAAAAATACTATTATTCAACTTCACTATTCTGCATATTTGGATGTGTTATAAACAACCAACAACAACAAAACGATATTATTAAATACTACAACAACTTCATTACAATCGATTAACACTATGACGACTGGCCTACTTTTCAGTACTCAATGTCATTGAATTTTTTTATATACCTAGCCTAGAAGAAACTATATTTTGTTAATTCTTGACAAAGGCAACCGGCCACTGATGAAATTTATTCGCGAAACTAGCCGTTCACCATAATGTTAGATATTTGTAAATACATACATCAGTCAATGCAACCTCCACTAAAAAATTAATTTTTATTCATATCTGAATTTTAAACATTCTCACGTATTGTCAAGAATCTTCAAAAATATAGTAACGAAGATCTTCATAACACGACACGATTTATACATTTTTGTATTCCTATTGAGAAATATTTACATTTCACGATGTGCACATGAATGTCTAATAAAAGAGGCCAATGCGTTTGCCGCATTGCAGATATGCTGCGTTTCCTTTCTTTCACGGAAACGCTTCTTCAACCTTTATTGCAGCCTTGTCCCCACCCTGAACCACTGTTGTCACGAAGATTTCGACGCCAATGATCCGTTCTCTGTCCCACCAACTATGGGACAAATATCGTTGGAGAATTGTCCGTCTTGCTCTATTATAAATGGGAGGGTTTGGGGGGGGGGGTGGCTACACGAAGTGAGGGGCCCATCTCGTGGACCCCTTATTGAATTATACGCAAGATTTAACCACTACGCATTTTCTCTCGCTTGCCTCGTTTAACTCTGATTGTTACAAACTGCACGAGTGTCCTCAAATGTGTAAGAGACAGGACATCCGAGCTCATAAATCTCAATCCTCACGTACTCCAAGTTTATGCTTTTCGACCACTTGACCCATTAAGTCTGAAGCAGTGAAATAAGGCGATTTTTACATATTTGACTAATTATTACGTATTAAAGTATATAAGAATAGAAATATAGTCAAAAATCATTTTGGATCTGTATTTTTTGTGTAAAAATGTTGCGTTTTTGCGGTAATGAGCAATTTTTTTTATTGAAAAACGTAAATAAAATAACATTATTCTGTCGAAATATGAATTATACATAATACGAGATATCATGTTATAAAATTCCACCACATGAGAAAGATACCCCCAAAAATTTCCCTGATTTCAGAAAAAATTGGTTTATCGTCGTGCCATAAATACGTTACTTTCTTCAAATTTCAAAACGTCGTAGGATTTAAGTAAAAGAGGAAACAGTGACAAAAAAAATGTTAAATAAATCTTTGAAATCCTCTTTCATAACTGCAATATGAAAAACAGACCTTAATAATGTAAATTCGCTGTAAAATTTCGAGTGAAATATTACATTAACACAACGTTGAGTTAGGTATATAATGGGTTAAACATCGAATTGTAAATCGTCCCTTTTCGTTTCCAGAAATTACAACAGTAGAACGCCGATTATACGAAGTTATAAGGAGACAAAACCCTTTCTGATGAACACTTTTTTTAGAATAATCGGTCTAGGAGAATCGAGGTTTAATACTATTTATCATAAAACAATTAGAAATAAAGTAATTATAAACGATGCTTACTTATATTTAAACGGCGCCTAACAACCATTTCTTCAATTTAAAAAAAAAGATAAAGCAATACCATATTCGCCTATAATTTTATATCTTGGGTTATCTTTGCATATGTCAAATCTAGTTACAATATGGTATTGTAGATTAAAGCGTTATATAATTGAAGACTGAACATAAAAACGGCTGTAAATATGTATGTACAGATTTAACCCATTAAGACCCAACGTTGCGTAAAAGCAGCAATTTAGTCGCTCTTTTTTCTCAGTCACATTACATTACTGAATTCTGTATTCCATATTCCAGTTGTGAAAGAGGATTCCAAAAATTAGGTTAATATTTTTTTTTGTCACTATTTTTTCTTCCACTTAAATCCTGCGACGTCTTGAAATTTGAAGAAATTAAAGTATTTATAGCACGATGATCAACCAATTTTTTTCTTAAATCATTGAAATTTTTTGGTGTAACTTTTTCATGTAGAGAACTTCTATAATAATATTGTGTCCAGTATTATAATGTATTTTTTACATTTTCGCAAAATAATATATAAGTTATTTTATTTACGTTTTTCAGTAAAAAATTGCCGAAAGTTGCATAAACGCAACATTTTGTTACACAAAAAGTACCGATCCAAAATGTTTTTTGATAACATTTATATTCTTTTTTATACACTATAATAATAATATTATTATATATACAAAATAAATAATAAATAATTATATGTATAAAAATCACCTTATTTCACTGTTTGTGACTTAATGGGTTCAGAGTATGGCACTTACAGCCTTATTCTTTTATCTCCAGTCTAGAATGTATTTTAATCTCGTTTTTTACAAATAAATGTTAAATAATCCATTTTGTAATAATTATGTTTCACAGAGTTCTTTTAAAAACTTAATTTATTGTTTTGATATTTTAAATGTGAACAGTAGAAACAGTGTACTAAATAAAATTGCTGTCTCAATAAGGAAATACAAAATGCTTTTTGCTGATAAACGTAACCTGAACTATACACTTTCAGTTAGTCATCAGCTTTATTTATAGGCATAGTGCTTCATTGTTTTGTGCATATTTCGCGATACTTGGAACATATAGTACTTCTTTTTGTATTCATCAATATTTCGTTCTTAACTAAAAAATTTGTTTGTCTTTGACATCAACGTTTATGTATTTTATATCTATACATTAGTGAAGTTTTTACTTTAACCCGTTTTCCCTTAAAAAAATGTATCTCGGTAAGCGTGATAATGTGTGAAATGTGTGCAAACAAATTATGTCTGACCAATACTTTTTTGTACAATAAATTAGTAATATTCATATCTAGCTCTTTCAGTCCTATTGTTGTAAGTGTAAAATTTTGTAATAATTTATAATTACAAAACTGAAAGAGTTAAACGACAATGCAATTTGGATATCATTAAATAATTTAGTTTTAATACTCTACTATCTCATAAAAGACTTAAAGACAAATAATTGGCTAAAATTATTTAAATAATCCAATCACTAAATAGATAAGTAAATAACTATAGTCGCTAATCGAAATTATTGAACTACAATAATAGCTAGTGTGTAATTTACAGAACATACATTTTAAGTTACATGTGTTTGAAAAAACATCAAGAAAACATTCAAGAATTTAAATAAAAACATATGTAAGTTTACAATTATTAGAAAAATGTAACTAACGTTAATTAGTAGGATTGAAGTTTTTGTTGTATATGTAAATTACTTAAAATATTAAAAATCTTATAAACACACGATTGTTTAATATAGTACATTGTTTACGTTAAGTTATGTACAGTTTCACTGATTCTGTCGCTTAAAGCTAGTCAACATACGAGTTAAGCGATAAATAATCATTGAAACACTGCGTATAAAGTTCTACATTCACTAAATTCCAGTTAATGTTTTTCCATTATTATTTTTATTATCAGATATATTTCATTATACATTTACAATCTTTGATAAACTTTTACAAATGCAATAAGGTTGATAGGAATACCGAGTCTGCAAATAATTCAAGTTTTCCCTATGTTTGCTACTCGATACACCGTATACACTTACAAAGTACTTATTAGCTTAACAGAACCTTTTTTTTTTTATTTTATTATACCTTCGAGGACGTTATGATTGTTCGACGTCACCATCATGAATAATACACGGAATATAAAATCATTCATATTTCGAATTCGATAGAGCCATGTTCGTTTCTTATTTTTAGTTTTTAAGTATCTATTACATTAAAAACACGGAACTTACCTATACGATCATTCATATAAGGGAATGTAGTACCAGATCGATAAATATCATCTTACATAGCTGATAAGAATTATCGAAATTCCCCCAGACAAAAATCTCATTTTCGATTCTCGATATGCCGATTCCCGATTTAAAAAAAAAAACATATAAACATTTATACAATGTATTTCTTCTGACACTACGACAAAAAAGATCACCACGTAAAAAAAAGTGAAAGATGTCATGCATGAAACTAGCAAAAAAGAATTCATGTGCGCATCGCGCGAAGATACTCTTAATGAATGTCAATAAAAAAATATATATTACACACAATCCCCTAAGTAACTCACGACAAAGTTTGCCTCATTCCAACATTCATAATTACGTTTCCCCACTTATTTCAAACGTCGCATTTATTATTTGTCATCCTTGTCTCCATGTGTCTCTTGTTCGTACTGACAATATGTATCTCGTATTCGGAACAATATTTTTGAAACGACTGAATTATACCAAGCTAAGCAAAAGAATTATTTTTACCATATCTACAGAGTAATTGCTGCTCCCCGCCCATTCGTTAGGTCTAACTCGGATGAAGAATGCATTTATTACACAAATGTTCAACAAAATGCATGTTTCACGGATACAAATATTAAGTCAGTACGTAAAGGCAAAAGTTTATTTCTATGCCGTCACTTTTTTTTTATGCTGTAGAATCAAAAACAAACCTTAATATAACTTCTTCGCCTGTGCTTCCTTATTGTCCCTATACGAAGATAGAAGAAAATAGAACACAGTGTTTTTAAATATATTTTTCGTATGATAATTAAACAAGCTAATGTTTACCGATATAAGCTGTATCCTAACAAGATGACCATTTGAATTGCCACGAATAGTAAGAACATTGTCGTTGTTAAGCAATTCGTTGTAGGACAATCTGTACTTCCACTGCCTACTTTAGTGTTCATTTGCCCGACGTCCCTCTTCAATGTGTTAAGTCCATCTCGCATTTCAGAAATAAGTGAGTGATAATCGTACCCCATTTGTTGTACCTGCAAATAAATTTCTTCGATGAAATATAATTCAGAGCGAGACTGGTAAAATTACGTCGGAAATAAATACCTGAGCAGTTGGAGCGCGGGCTTGATTATTAAGAATGGTATCAGTCTTAGAATATACTTCATTTACGAATGATTTAATTTCTCTGGCTGTATTGATTATAACATTCTGATTGCCCAATAGAGTGTCAACTTCTTGTCTGCGTATTGTATCGATTAATTGAACTTGTTGCCCTGGTTGACCCCCAGTTGCTTGTACACCTACAAGCAAATTATTTACACATTTCCTAATTAACTCTATATTTATACTACAACATATAAATTCGAAGTTATATCTGATTGTCAAATAGAAAAGTACCTCCTAACTGGAGCTGAGATATTAAACTTAAAGATCTTTCTTGTCTCCCAACTATTTCATCCAACTTTCTATTCAATTCACGCAGTGCATCAAACATCTGGCTTTGACCAGAAAAGATCTGTCTCAATTCCCTTTGATTGTCGGTTTCAAAATATTCCTCAAATTCTTCCCTTTCACGGCGTTCTTCTGGGTGATCTCTGGAAAATTATATCATTTTATAAAACGACTTTTCTATTTGAAGTAAAATTTAAAGTTGTCAAAGTCTCCCGTACCGGCGATACTCTTCCTTCTGTTGTTCCAACTTTTTCTGATAATCCAAATATTCTTGGCTAAGTTTTTGTTGCTCCTCTAAAGAAACTTTTTGACCATCAGGCCTCAATTGGCCAGGAGGAAACAAAGAATGAGTTAGGAAATGTGAAACATCGTGGTCATCGGCCAAACCACCTTGAATAAACCATTACATCGTGAATAATTCTTGCAATCAGTATTATTATTAATTCAACCTTTTTTTCTGTATTACATACCAGTAGCAGCAGAAACACCAAAGAATCCGCCTTTCGGTAAAACAACATTTTCAACGCGGAAACACATCTCATAGTCTTGCTCATTGTTTGTCATACCATTATGGAATAACACCTTCAATCAACAATGGCGATTAAGATACAATATAATACTAAATTCATATCAAAGAGAACACTACATTAATGTGCTTACTGTTAAAGTATTCTGATAGTATTCAACTTTTGCTCTAGTAGCAAATGGTTTATTTCGGAAATCTCGCAGACAGCCAGCTGACAATTGAGTCATACCATCGCTGTATCAAAATTAATATAAACGGTCATTTATTGAAAGTTTCAAAGGACGTAAAAAAATTAGAATAGTATGAGATGTAAATTCACTTTGTATGATCGAAGGTTTTTGTGCCATCATTGATGACACCCATGATGTAAGGGTTGTTGTGTTTATTGTCATTGTCAAATGAGTCAAAGAAGATTCCAAGACCATTCCACTGATCAGAGCTGCCAAAGACAGTACCATTGTAAGCACCCTTTGAACTGGTATACCAAAATGCTAAACCATCAGCTCCGATCCTTCCCCTTCCTGTTACTCTAAATATCAACTCTACTTCCCACCAGTCAAACAAGACTGGCTGTTTGACCCATATTGCACCTAAATGTCATTTTAAATTTTCATGTAATACAAGGTAAAAAAAGAAAAAAACATATAATACATATGTACTCATTAATACAAAAATATAAAATGTATTCGATTATATTTGATACATAAGTAGTTTTTTATTGACATTAAATATTACATAGAAAAGTTTATAAAAACTTCTGATATAGAAGTCAAACTCTTCAAATAAAAAGTAAAGAAAACTGATAATATCATGAACATCACTGATTTAAATATAGCTTGAGATATATGAACAAGCATCTCTTACGTAGTGATTTATTTGAAATGTGAGTATAATATTACAAAATATGACACACATTAAAATGAATATTTTAAAAATATTAAAAGTGTAAAGTTTACGAAAAATTAAGTTAATCAATTTGGCCCATATCTATGTCTCAAAATATTTTATTTATATCAAAGAATATCTTTTATAATTACTATGTAGATTGCAGTTGTTTATGCAAATTCATACTTTTACAGACTAACTGAAAAAGCAAGTCAATAAACACCTGCTTCCACCACAAATAATTTCCCTATGTCAAAAACAATATAAAAAATTGCTTACACTTAAATAAAATATTGTATATAATGCATAGTTTAGTTATTAAATTTTTTATTCTGCCCTTAAACTTAATATTTAATATACAGATTAAAGAATAATACTAAAATACATTTTTCACATACCTTTTTGACTTCTCAATGATGGAGCTACTCTAACATTCTCTGCACTTGCAATTGCATCTGTAATAAAAATATATATTAGTATGAATATCTAAAACAAATTAATTGTTTTGTGAGATATGGAAAGAATAAAAAAATAACTATGGAAGTATACAATGATCCAATTGCAAATTGTGAAGAAAGTGCAATTCATTTATATAGAACGTTTCAAAGATAAATGCATACATCTAATTTATTTGCTAGGTTCCACATTCTTGTTCCTGTAAGTACCACCTATCATGATGTTATTATTTATACAATGTGTATATAACACAAATCATAACAATATAGGAGAATATATTCAAACAATCAGTTATTACTCTAACAATCACGTTTAAAAATTATTTTGTTACAGATAATATGCATAATCAAATAAACCTTTATTAATAAATTAAAAATCTGAATTATCTCTGAAATAGTTAATTCTCTGACATATGTTTATCAAGCCTCTTTCATTTCTTTCAATAAATGCAGTTGCATCAATTGTATTTGGTTATACAATTTGTACCAATGCTATTGAAGCACCCTATATAGAAATAAATTACTAAATAAAAAAATATGCATTCTCTTGAATATCCAAAAGAAATCAATGAATTACAATACAAAATTAGACAAGAATAAAGAAACAACAGTGGAGGTAATAGTAAATGAAAACTTATTGCCACAGAAGTATTAAATTGTTGAACACGATGAGAATTCCATCAACTTGATAGAAACGCATAATTTACATGTTTTATCTTTCCACTATTCAAATCAAATAAAGCAGATCCCGATGTAAATAAAAACACGTACACCTGTCGTGACAGTTTTGCCGACTTCTGTCAAGTAAATACTGTCAAATCCACTCTTCAAACGAACTGAGATAAGAAAGCCTAATTGAGACTTGCGTTCGCAGGCGAAATAACGAAGTGTTCCATTTAAATAATCGGAAAGCCGACTGCATGGAAATAACATACGGAAAGATTTTACACCCGCGCGTGTGCTTGGTTAGGTTCTCGTTTTACTCACTTCCTCCGTATTCCCAGAAAGGCACGCCTCCATCTTTTTGTGCAAGATACGGCGGCTTGAACGAGTACTTGTACTCGAACTTCCGATGAGGTATTTCACCGAGGACTGAAGCAATTACCAAAAACACGTGAAAAATCAAAAGCCACCTCACCTCGGCGGCCATCTTCATTTCGACTGTCGAGTCGAAAGTAGATTGACCACGGTCGACCCTGCGGCCGGTAGGAATGATTGGTGGAACCCTTTAGTTCCTCGTTTCATTGGTGCATTATCAATGACGTGTCAATTTTCTGGCCACATTTCAAAGAATCTACTTTCATCCGGGATTTCTTTTTTCTCCAATTTCTTGTAAAGTCTTTTCTAGATTTTTATCGTCTTATGGTATTTAATTTAACAAGGAAATAATCTTGAAAAATTCTGGTCTTGAAATGTATTATGAATGAATGACGTGTATGGAATTAATGTTCATTCTCTTTTTGCGTACGTGTCATATGAAAGTATGGCGTTATCGCTACACAGACTGAGAATGTATATGCAAATTCTACTCTACAAAGATTGTTTTACAGTGTTCATGGACACATTTAATTTAATTGTTAAAGTGTTTCTTAAGATAAAAGTAAAATTAAGTCTTCAGGTATTTTTGTTTCGCTGTGTGTCACATGTTTATGTACACGACAAATACATATGTAATTAGTAGCCTATTTAGTTATGAATTGAATAATATTGGGTTGTCTGTAATATATGGAAAAGGACGGTGCAAGGGTAGAGCCACAATTAAAAGCTTCTTAAAACAATGATATGAGCTTATCTTCGAAACTTCTTATGAAAGTACACATAGCTCACAATTAACAACCTACTTTAATGGTCTGTAACGTCACGATAAAGAGCGATTTCAACTCTGTTGTAATTTATTACCGTTGTAAATTATTGGGATTTAATTGAGGGTATTTGTGCTTTAAATCTTGTGCTTTAAAAAAGTGTTGCGGGAAATCGTCGAAAAATCAATTTTTCAGTGCCTCATTAATCAGGATAGTAAAACAAAATTTTTATTCTAAAATGTGCGTTTTAAAATTTTTAATTACTACTAAAAAAAGGATCATAATTTATGACATGACATTCGGCGATCGGCTTTGAACACAAAGGATAATGAGATCAAGGATACTTTGTACAAAGCGGGAAATTAGTGGGTTTGGAATTTTAAAAAGAACCACTTTTTTCCCACTCCTCACTTCAATTACTATTTCAGCGAAATAGAATAATCACCGCATCGAATTATATTCCATTATGACATTTGGAAAATTTTTTAAATGAAAAACAGAAGCATAAAATACTACATACCTCGATGCAGCCTCCAAAATTTGTTATTCCAATTCGTTTTAGATGGAAAGCATTACTGTACGGTGTCTTAGATTTTTGCCGCCTTTTTCTTGTAATTTTGAAATCTAAGGTGCTTTCGTAAATGCCATCTATGATCCTTCCGTCAATTTTACAATGGTACTAGAGTTTATGGAATATTCGACAGATATTGCCAATTAAATAATAGATAAGAGATTTCTTTATGGAGAAAATAAAAATAAATGTATACAAGGCGTCATGTGCTATTTGGGTTTGAAGCTCCTTGAATGTTTATATAGATTAACGACGGTAGGTAGACAATATATAAAAAATGTTAACAAATTGTAAATGACAATTGATCGGACGGGATTCCGTTTACGATAGCCGGTTTCTTTGGTGATTTTCGAAACATACTTATAGCCCAGATAGCACATGACGCCTAATGACGCCTTAAAGGCGGCTTAAAGGCGCCTCAGACCTAAAATAGACGTAAAATGGGCGTCTTCGAAACGTAATGTGCTATCTGGGAGTCTATTTGTAATAAAATTCGTATATTCTTCGTATTTGTAATAAAATCTTGTATATTCATTTTATTATAAATTTCAAATGGTGTATGTCTTTTATATATTTAGCGTGAATAAAATGTTTATTTAAAAAATTGCATATTTTAAAGTACCACTGTATTAGGGTAGATGGCGTCCATCCACATTCAGTCCGTGTCATCTGCTTACGCACGAAATTGAATAACGTATACGATTGTTGTGATTCCAAAAAAAGTCAGCATATGTGATCTACAATTAATATAGTAACACTAGAACAATGGAAAAACATGTAAAGCCATTACCAGGTCATGATGTAGACTCAGAGTTTATGGGCATAATAGTTGCTTTGATAGCGACTATCATAACCATAGGTAATGGACACATTTTTGTAGGTTATGGTCATTTTACGTTTCGTACATAATGTGGGAATAAATGATATTTATGTATTAAAAGATACACAATATGAGACTATAATTTGTCATTTATGCGAGAAATATATTCTATGCTTATTTATTATCACATTATTCAAAACAATATCACAGTTTTTATTTCTGCAGCTGAGGAAATCTAAATATACATTTGATTAAGATTATAAACGGGTTACATACATTTGTAAATTATATATACAAAATGAGATTCATTAATACCATTTAAATGACTTTATTGTACGGTCATTTCAATGACACTACTGAATTTCATGCACAGTCTCTTAGTGTGATTTATCAAGTCCAAAAAAGCATTAGACTTATTCATTTAAAGCAAATGTATGTCATAGTATCTACAATAGTTATGGAAGAATACAATGACAGATACAAGAAATATAACAAACATGAAGTTGTTATTGTATATACAAAACAAAAATAGGTACATCTTTTAATTTCCCTGAACTTAACCCAGAATATCTGCAGATCTAACTCTATATTGTATCTTTGATATGAGTAAGCCAAGTGCAAGCATTACCATATTGTTTGTAAGCCTCTACTCTGTTTTTTTGTTCAGTGTTATTTGTCATATGGCGCAGGAAGAAATCCATAGGAAACAGTATACTTTTAACTGGCCTCTGTGATGCTGGTAAAACACTAATATTTGCGCGTCTATTATATGGCAAGTTTGTCAAAACTTACACATCTGTGGATAAAAATTCAGAAGAACTTGTAATTAACGATGTAAGTCTTTACAAATACATGTTGTAAAAGCACACACCTGTAGTATAGGCATTTATAGCTGCTTGTACATTTAGCATTCCTTAAGAATTGTCGACATTCCTGGAAATGAGCGTTTGCGCTACAAATACTTTGATCAGTTTAAGTCATCCGCAAAAGGTCTTGTCTATGTAATTGATTCTGTGACGTTCCAAAAGGGTATACGTGATGTGGCAGAGTAAGTAGATACAAGTGATTAGACATCACATCCTACAACAGATACAATAGAAAACCTTTGTTTTTCAGATACTTGTATAATATATTGTCTGACCCTGCTGTGCAACGAAAACCTGTCCTTATACTGTGTAATAAGCAAGATCAACCTATGGCAAAGGGTTCCTCTGTTATAAATACCTTATTAGAGAAGGAAATGAACTTGTTGCGTATGACAAAAACAAGTCAACTGGAAGCAACAGATCCATCATCAGAAAATGTCTACCTTGGTAAAGAGGGAAAAGATTTTGAATTTTCCCAGTTGGATACACATATAGAATTTGCAGAATGCAGTGCATTTAATAAAGATGCTGATACCCCAGCTGATATTGAACAATTAAACAATTGGTTAAAGAAAATTGCATAAACATGTATACTTATTTCTTTAAAATAAATTATTTGTTTATAATTTTCTAAATTGTTTCATTATTCTCCTATGGTAGATAAGATTTATGTGATTGGATTCTTTGTTTTCCTATTTAGATCTTGTAATTTAGCATTCCTCTAACTAAACTTTTAGATTTTTATTTACTTATAATCTAAATTTTGGTCAGTTCCTCATATTTATGAGTAGAGACAGTGGTTAGATAAATAATATACAATTTAAATAAGAACACTTACATGTCAAAAACAATCTTTAGATAATATGTTAAATTCTGTAACTAATTACATATCATAGACATATTTGTACTTCATATTATTATACACTTATAATTATACATTTATTCTAACCTAGCGACAGTATTGTGTTGCTTGTCGAAGTCAGAGAACAGAAATGAATTAATATTTTAAACTTTTATAACAGTCAACAGATTCAAACATTGACTTCTATGTTTTGCTCGATATTAAGTGTAAATAATGCTAACGACTAAATTTTTCGTGCATCTGTTAAGAAAGCACTTCTTCCGATGATCAATTACCGACGCAACTACACGAAAAGAAGCGGCTTGTAAATTTTGAATCAATAGTCATTTCATTTAAGCATTTCTAATACATTTCTTGCTTTTAAATGAAAAATGTGCTTCCTTTTTCTTTATCATCGAAATACAGAGAATTATTTTTTAATTTATAAAATGTACAAGTACGTTTAAACATTATAATAAATGAAAAATGACTAGTAGCACTAGGTTAGGTAAAGGTTTAATCACCTTTAAATACAATTATGGTGATAAAAGAAATTTTTTTAAAAGTTTCAAGAAATTTCATTGTTTTATGCTTGTATACAAAAGTAGTCACTGTATACTTTTGTTTTATAAACTGAATCATTTATTCAGTTTATTTCAATGTTTTAAAAAGGAGTAAGTTTTCAGTTCATAAATTAAGTAATGTTTAATAAATAGTCCCTAATTAACCACTAATAGTTGATGTGATAATAAAAAAATGTAATTAACAAAAATATATTGTATTGGGATTTCAAACTTGAATGTATTGTCTACTGGCAATCTCAAATATAATCAAGTTTAAAATTATGGTATGGCAGTGCATCAAATTTTTGCAGTGAATATAAGAAAAAAATTATAAAACATTGTACATATGCATATTTGTATTAGTCCATTCCAGTATATTGACCCTCGGTCAATAAAGACATGTTTTTCAAATCAAAGTTGTCTTCTTTAAAAAAAGTCCAGAATTTCCTAACGAGTTCTTCAGAGCTCCACGAGCGAGGACTCCGCCTGATTTTTCTCCTTTAAAAGAAATCCCTGGAAAAGGCCGCAACAGTTCATAATATTGTTGCGTATCCACCCTACACTTTGCCATATAAAGGTGCCCTTAGGCACACATAGTTTTTGTTATACAGTTGCCAGCCATGCTTGGCTCTAATGACAGACGGATTTAATTAACCTTTTAACTGCAACTAACATATACATATATTAATATATACATATAGTGCTCTCCGGATATATGTCCACCGCTCGGGACAGTGCCTGGCCATATATCCGGAAAAGTGGATTTCCGAGAATTGGCCGACATTATTTAACTCCACCTCACTCTGCCGTGTGTGCATCATGGGAGAGGGAGAAGTAGGCAGTGCGTGTGAGACAGAATAGATAGAGAAATAACAGCGTAGAGCAGTGTTACCGAAACTTTTTTGGATCATACCTCACCTCAACGCCTCACAGATCTCGATGCACCCACAGCTTAAATAGTAAACCACGTTCTGAAAAAGTTTAACACTAATAGTTGCTTCAAATAAAAAAGGCACATACAGTTGGTCACAAAAGTATTCGAATACCCTTTAAAACGGAACAACTTTTTTTAAATTGGTCCATATGACTTGAGTTCTTTTGTGATGTTAGGAATATTAGTTTACTAAATGATGTGTAAAAAAAATTTGCAACAGTTGAATACAAACGATTAAACATGTTGACAATCAGTTTTTCGCGACTTTTGACCTACAACTGTAGTAAATCTATCAATTCTTATAACTTTTAATGCCTGTCGCTCGTTTCTGTAACGACCGATTTTAATGAAAGTTTCAGCATGTGTATAACTAATATAAATCTGTCATATGTATTTATTAAATTTTCATTATAGCCTCAGATTAAAAAGTTGTAAAAAGCGGCTTTTACTATTTTCTTCGCGATTCCGACCAATTGCACCTTTTTCACTTTTTTTACACATCATTTAATAAACTAATGTCCCTAACTTCACAAAAGAACTCAAGTCATTTGGACCAATTTTAAAAAAGTTATAAAACTTGTTGATGCGGTGACGAAGGTCAATGATTTGCTAATTGCCCCCTAAAATATTCAAATTGCCCCTCGGTGCGGCGTACACTCCACGTTGGGAAACATTGGTGTAGAATCAAGTCATTTCTTAGTCCTAATCCTAATAATTATATGTTTAGTTTAGTTTTTATTAATAAATTGTTGGAAGAACATAATTGCACTAAAAATTCAATCAATTGGCAACCAAGCTTGGGTATAATTGAAATAAAATATTGTAAAAATGATTATTTAAATTTAACACAAAATACAGTTGTATTTGTCCTGTTATTTTTAAAATAAAAATAATTAAATGATATAAAGTGATTGAAATGATTAGTTATTTTAAACTGTTACTTTATCTTATTTCAATTAAAATGTACTCTAGCCTGCTAGTAACACATGGTATCGATACGTTAGAAATTATGTTATATGCTAGGCAATTAGATGACCAAATTATAGAACATTCGTTCTATTATTCCGAGGTATAAGTGCCGTGGGATATATTCCATAGTGTCACAGACCTGTTACCAGAAGGCATCCTCGCGTTTTCCATGCCGTGACAAAATCCTTAAGACAAAATGTTCATTCTGAACTTTCACTCATCTATTTTAAAAAACATTCTTGTTAGATTCGATAGTTTGATAACCCAACACCGCCACTAGCCGTCACCCGCCAAGAGCTTTAGTCAGGCTCATTGGGTTCGCTCACTACACGATGAGGTTTACCTCGCAAGGCCAGGCCTCGGGGTAAACCTCATCGTGTATGGCCTGGTTTACGGAACCTTATGTAGGTTAAGTTCCCAACATAAAACTTTAAATACCTGAATAGAGCCCATGAAGTAAGAATAAGGAGACTTATCTGCATGGATTGAAAGTGGTCACAAAAAGTGTTCTGTACGTGGCTGGGTTCGCCAAATGGAATAACTTGGACTTTTTAGTCGCCATCTTGAAATTGTAATGACAGATGATGAGATAAAAGGTTAACAATACATGGTTACAGTAGGACGCGTGATAATGAAACATTGAAAAAAAAAATAATCTTATAAATCTTTAAACGGAAGTTGTTTAAGTGTGTAAGTAAAAAAGAAAGTATATATATAAATTAAATGTGAAAGAATGAAATTCTATACTGTATACAACTATGTTTACATTAATGAAAGTTAATATTCAACAAAGTTAAAATTGAAATAAATATACATATTGCTGCAATGAAAAGGAAGTAACAATATTGGAAGGATCATAATACATGATATTTATTTATACAATACAAATAATTATAAAAGAAACAAGATCACAAAAAAATCAGTTTTGACTAAAAGTGGTGGAACGCAATAATTTTAAAAACTTGAAAGATAATTTAGAGTTGACCATTACACTCCCTACCACAGAATAGAGTTATTCAAGAGGAAATGAAATGTTTTTTGCTTTCTAAAAGATAGAAAATAATTGTAGTATAAGAAAGACAATTGCTTTTTTGCAAAATAGATAGGTTATTTACATAGATAATAAAATTCATTCTCTTTCAAAATTGATTTTAATTGTAAGTATATCTGTAATGTATAATCTTTCAAAATTTATTGTAATTGTAAGTATTGAGGAATTAAATGAATCTTTAAAAATTGTTGTTGAATTACAAAAATAATGAAATATTGATTAAGTCGGGGCAGTTTAAGTTTAATTGTAATATGTAATAGATATTTCAATACTTTAATTCATCTTAGATTTTAAAATCTTATTACTAGACCGTGGATTTTATGCATTTATAGCCTATGGGGCTTTGTGAAATACAATAAAAGAATATATTATCATCAGATCCAACATCGTTAATATTTTATTTTTAATCCAATAAGATATTTAAAGGAGAAAGAATGAATCACTTTATGAATCACTTTACAAAATGTTATTTTGCATAAAAAGCTGCAGACTACTTATTACTATTAATGCGATATAAACAATAACACACGAGGTATGATACTAATCAATTGTAAATTATGTACATAAGAGTGTGTGTGTGTATATGTATAAATTTTTATTATATAATTAATTACGTAATTGTATACAACACATAAAATATTATTGAAATAAAAAATGTGTTAGAATAAGAAAAATGGAAGCCATTGTAACTCCATAGGGGATCAATAAACACTTACTCACATAATAAACAAGTTATTTTTATTATTTGATTTTAGACATTTGAACTACATTTATGCTAAAAAAAGTGCTATAATTTTCTTCTAAACCTTATAGTATCATATGATTATAAATAATATTGTAACCAAACTATACTCACTTTAAAATGAATTATCAAATTTATTATAAATACTAACATTCATGTACAATTTGCAACACAACGCACTAAACATAATATGCAATAATATGTAGTATTATATACGAAACTTCAAGATGACAACGAAATGGTTCAAGTTATTCTACATATTTGGTGAACCTAGCCACGTACGGAACATTTTTCGTGACCAACTTTTTTTCTCTATATCATCGAAATAAGTCTCCTTACTGTTACTTCATGATAGAGCCTTACCAGCTGACCATTGGCACCCTCAAAAAACACATGGACGTTTACAAATAGGAAGGGGTCCCCTGAAAGTTTGAACCAAAAATCATTCGTTCGTTATCAAACCTCCGCCGTTATTAAACCTCCTTTCGCAGATCCAGAGAAAGCAGTTTGTAGTAATATTTGGACATTTTCGAACATTTTCGGAAAATACACCAAGTATTTGTGTCGTACAGTGAAGAAAATTTTTGTGATGGCATCTTCGGGAAAGAGACATACCGTGACTGTGGAGAAACGTTTGGAGATTCTACGGAAGTTAGAAGAGGGTTTCAGTGTCGATGATGTTGCAGTTGAGTATGGTGTGAGTAAAAGAACTATAAGAAGATACAAGCATAAATCGGCACCTATCCGACAACTGTGCGAAAATCCGGCGCGTGCACAGACAAAGAGGCAACGGGCATCTGTGTATGAAACTATGGAAACCCGGTTATACGAGTGGGTCTTACAGAGGCAAGCTTTAGGAGATGTCCTAACGAATGGATTACTGCAGGACAAGGCGAAGGAACTCCAACAAGAATTTGGCAGTTCGTCGAGCTTTACGGCCAGTCAAGGGTGGCTCTCGCGCTTTAAAGCTAGATACGACATACGCCTAGGAAACGTGAATGAAGAGAGGGCTGATGCTAATGAATTAGCGGCAGAAAAATTCATCGACGAATTGGCAGAAATGTTACGTGACGAAGGTTTCGAAGATGACTGTATCTACAATATGGGCGTGTCGAGTTTAATGTGGAAAGCTCTTCCGTCGAAAGCATTAGTTCATCGGGGCGTGCTACGAGCGAACAGTGGAAAAGTTAAAAAGGACCATGTGACTGTGGCATTCTGTGCCAATTCCACGGGTACACATAATTTACCTCTGCTTTTCGTGTATAAATACGCCAATCCGAGAGCATTGAAACACTGTAAAGAGAATTTACCAGTTGTGTATACACACCAATACAATAGTTGGATTAATGAACAGATATTTACTGACTGGTACATAAACCATTTTAAAGAAAGTGTAAGGGAGTATCAGTTGCGTGATCACCGTGCGAAAAAGGTACTTCTTCTAGTTGACAATTTTAAATGGCATATAATTCCCGAAGAGCTTCGGGAAGACGATCACTTCAAATTAATTTTTCTGCCCCCTAACACCGCTTCGATTATACAACCGATGGACCAAGGTGTAATCGTCAAATGCAAACAATTATTCCGACATCAGTTACTGAGACAAGTACTCCAATATCCTGGCGGCATCAACGAATTTTATTTAGATTATGACATTAAGGATTCTATTGATATTATCGCAAATTCGTGGAGCAATGTAACACCTGAAGATATTCGAAATTCGTGGAGGAGACTTTTGAGACATCAGTATTCATCTGAACATCCCGAGGCGAATCCAGAGAGTTTCAGAGGCACTAGAGAACAGACTTGGAAAACTGAAGAAAATCTAAATCAGGAGAAAGTAACTGAGTGGTTTATGGAATGCGAAAGCGAAGAGTCCACTGTATATGACACTATAGGACCAGCAGAAGAAACAATGGTCATAGAACCCGAATGTATTATAGAGGAGGAAGAAATAGACGATATGTTCCGCAATCTGGAAAAGTGGGCTAGCACAGAACCCGAATATATTAAATATCATACGAAAATTCTGATAGACTATTTCAATAAAAAATAATAATTCTATTATATACTATAGCTATTACTTTTTGGATTTCTCTTTCTCGTTTTTTATTGCTAATTTAGTTTTGCCTATATTATTTTTTTATTTCTTTTTCTCGCCTTTAATTCCTAATCTTATTTTATTTATTTTATTACATCAAAAGTTATTTTCTTATTATTATTATTTTATTACTATTTATCCTTATTCTTCTTATTTTTATTGTTATCATTATAATGAAACTTTTAAATACAGTCCAATTCAAAATGTACATGCAAGTATTATATCACTTATACCAAAACCTTCCACTTCCGTCAATTAAATATATTAATATTTACCTTAAAATTAATACAAATATGGTCATGCTTGGTATCATTTTGATCGTACTATACAGGGTGTTCCACGTAACTGGAACCACTTCGATTATTGCGTGAATAATGATTTTAGTGAAAAATGTTTCAGATAAAAATTGTATAGTTTCAAGAGGGACATGATGTAATTCGTTTTTTTGCAAGTACCTATAGCTTCCAGATAGTAAGTACGTATTAAAAATTATTTTGCAAATATCTCGTTAACTATTAGGTTCAGGACGTATAGAGGTCAACACATTTTTACTTGGAATTTGATACGCTATCGATGTATGGTACAAAAAATAGGTAATTCCGTTAAAAAGAAATCAAGGTGACCTTGAAATATCTGAAATGTCTCCACCCAAGAATAAAGCACGTACCTTATAAGATGTACACCTTGATGCTATTAAAGAGACACGTATCCAATTCATAAAGTTTATCGTTAAGTTATGATTCGAGGTGATCCAGTTAGTTGAGACTCTGACATAGTGATGGGTCTTTGTTTTCGAGTCGAGCGGCTCAAGCCAATGATCATCCCGGCTCGCCTCGAGCGAGGTAGAATAACAGCTTTATGAGGTCAGCGGAGACTCGAGGCTCTGGCCAGCCAAGTCTTACCGAGTAGAGATGTTATCCGACGAAGCGACATTTACTAATCGTGAGAAAATTAATTTGACAAGCATGCACTACTAGGCATCAGAAAATCCTCACTGGATGAGAGTAGTTGATCATCAATGTCGATGGGGCGTTAATGTGTGGTGTGTGGCATACTCGGCAATCAATTAATTGGACTACATTTTATTAATGAACGATTAACGGGACAAAAATATTCGAATTTTTTATGTGATATTTTATCAAGGTTATTAGAAAATGTACCATTAAATATCCGCACAGACCTGGTTGTCCCCCACATTATGCACACGTATCAAGGCAAGTGCTGGACAGACAATTCCCCAATCGATGCATCGGTCGTGGTGGAGAATTTCTGTGGCCACAACGTTCAACAGATCTAACGCCGCTAAACTACTTTCTATGGGGTACATTAAAAGATATAGTGTATCGTGAACCAACAACAACACCAGAGAATATGAAAGAACGAATTCGTGAAGCATGCAGTATACTTGCTGCGGAAACAATTCAGAGTGCAGTTTCCTCGTTGATTGATAGATTACATCAGTGTATTAATGTGAATGGACACCATTTCGAACACCTACGTTAGTGCTATCTTTACTGGTATTGAATCTCCAACTTGATATCACGCACAAACCATTCTCAAGAAACAAAGTGAAATTATTCGTTAATTATTAGATTTACGGCTAATAAAGGTCAGTACTTTTTTACTCAAAATTTAACGCTCTTCGATATTTTGGCATAATAAGTATAGCATTCCATTTAAAAAAACGAAGTTGACCTTGAAATCTCCGAAACGTCTTCACTAACAAAAAAAATATATGCATTACATGTAATGTATCCCTCCAAACCATACGATTTTTCTATAAAAAGGTTTTTCATACAATGCATACTTTAGAAGTTATTCAGGGTGAACAAGTTGCGTGGACCACCCTAGATTTAATAACATACAATTCGTATGACGACATAATGTATACATAAAAATTGTTTTCGTTACATTTTCCTGTTCATTCCCTTCCATTTTCTGACTTGCAAAGAGTGTGAAATAATCTCATACATTGCAAATACCGGGGCACCTATTACAGAATTGTCTCCAATTTTTCGGTTGAAAATTGTAGTTGGCGAAAATTAAGAACCATAAAAAATGCTAACAAATGCGAATTGCTTAATGAAATTTTAGTGACTAGATTTATATTTTTACAGTAATAACATATATTCATCAGTAGTATCCTTGCAATTTTTCAGAATTATTGATGGGATATGTCGTGTTTAAAAATATGAAAAATCAATTTTTTTGACGTTCCTTCCATAAAAAAGTAACTTATACCTTGAATGTTTGTATTTTTTTTATTAAGTGAGTACATACTCTGATATGAAATATTTTTATAATACTGTATTCATTATACTGTGAAGTATTTACTCCACTACCAACGACACTGTTACTTGGTGCAGCGCTATTTTGATATTTAACACTATTATATTTTTCTTTGTTAGTTTTTACTCTTTATAAATTTGATGTTACATATTTGATTTCTTAAAGGAATGGTATTGCAAAAAAGATGTAAGGGATGTTATAATAAATTTACATATTATAAATAAATAATACCCGTTTGCATATATTTCACTTTTCCACGTTAATGTATTTGCAAATTAATTATAATTAAACATGGTAAAGCACATACAGTAACATTGTAAATCAATATTTTGTAAAATACATAACATAATATGAAGCAATGAGTGCATTAATACATTGATCATTAAAACAATAAACATAATACAATTATTTTAATTCAAGCATATCCCAAGGATAATATAAGAAGCGAAGATAAGAAATTAATTGACTAAATATGGTACAGAAACAAGTGTACAGTAAAATGTATAAAATAATATAACGCTATCTAACATTAAGACATAAACTTAATCATTTCAATCAGTAAATACAGCATGATCAATTCCATACACATTTGATAGGGACGATTTGAAAATCGATAGTCTGCTTATTGATCTACTAGCTTCTTTCTCGTGGTAGAATTCGGCATTTGGTAACATTTTTTTATTAACAAAATTATAATTAAAGAAGTAAATAGGACTTCTGCTTTTATATTGTTACGAGGCGAGGGCTAAAGGGGTTTCTGGCTGTTATTATAGCCGAGGATCGTTTGTTTGAATTGTTGTTAGTTGTGAATCAGTCGGTGTCTATTTCATCACCGGGTTACCATTAGGAGGTTGATTTTCGTGGATCAGCCGATGCCTATTTCATCAACGGGTTACCACTAGGAATGTTAGTTGGCCTCGTAAATTTAAATTAAATTCAGTACACCTCGAGCGGTTAAGATGTACCTACAGGTTATATTGCTAGTTGTCGACTTATTCTGTAGGTTAAGGTTTGAATGAATCTACACAGAATTACAAATGAACCTTACAATACGTATATACTCAAAGTAATAAATGAGGACGTTACAATTGTTCTGTGTATGTGTTCGAATATAGAGAAACTAAGTCCTAGCTTGAATCTAATATTAAGGTTGTAATCGTACTGTGCTACTCGGTTTTGATGCATTGAGAAATGCTGAAGCCAGTTCTATGGAGGGATACGGAAATGCCTAACAGTAGACTAAAATACTGTACGTGAAGGGGACTCGTACCCGATCTTGTGTTGGATTCCGGGTTGTGGAATTGAGTGCAACATTTAATAAAACAATCTTGAAGAGTTTTATTCGACCACGCGTAACAGAGTTATCGTAAGAATCTAAGTTATACGGTTTGGAGTTCTCAAGTCTCCGTCGGAACCAGAATTGTCCCCTGTGTCTTTTCGGAAAGCTCATATACATATATGTAATACTGAAGATAGTCCAAATTATGTCATGCTTGAACATATTTTCAGCAGAAACAGGAAAAAAAGAATCTCCTCAATGTATTTATAACATTTTTGAAAAAGTCCGTTGAAAAGAGTAAAAATTAAAATTTTTATTCATGTGTAATCTATTCAGTGTGTTTACACTGTAACCAGAGCGTTGTTACAAGCCCGGGCCGTAGCAACGCGAGAGGCCGGCGAGTTTAGGTTTTCCAAGGAATATGGTATCAGTTTATTAGTAAGGTGCGCGGACGAATCTGATGCGAAATCGGAGAGCCACTGGGTTGGAAATACTCTTGGAAAAATGTAATGCACGGACGAACCTGATGCGAAATCAGGGAGCCGTTAGAAAATGTTAGTTAGTGCCTCGTAACCTTTGAATTTATAATTAATACAACTCGAGCGGTAAAGTTGTATTAGTGTGGGAACGGTCGACCTGATATTATTCTAAACTAGAGGAAACTAGTATATCGATAATACTACTGATTTCTGGATCGTGTTATGGATTCAAAATGAACTACACAGCTTTATAAAATAACAGTATAATTAATCAGTCTTTGGTTACAAATGTGTTGTGTAGTGTTGTCGCGTAGTAGTAAGTAATAATGAAATAATAGCTATTACCGAAATAAATAGGTGTTCGGTGTTAACGCACTGGCGATGCGGGGGTTGCGAATGGATTTTACGGAATAATGCCAAAGTAATAATTCTAGCCGGAATACAAATAAAATGTTCACGATTTACTAGAAGGTTAACTCGATTCGAAAGGGAACTTTAGCCCGATCTCACTAACGTAATGACCAACTCACAAGAACCGGACGCGATGTGACTTTAAAGGCGACAGTACAGTTTTCATCCCCCGAGGGTTGAAATCAACGGATTTATATAGGCCTAGAAATTGGTGGGGATGCTATGAAATTTCCATATAAGGAAATTTTTGACGGTTGAAGTTGCGTCACACTTCCTAGTTTTTTGGTTACCATGCCGTGGGAACGGGTTTGGAACAAGTAACAGTTCACGCCATCCATAATATTCAATATGCTTTGAAAATGAATTACATTGATATTTGCGTTTTGAAAAATCAGTAGAAAAAATGAAATTGTAAAGAATGATTTGCTATAATTATACAACATATATTGTTGATTAGAATTTATAATCATTAATATATTTATTGTTCTTCATTGTTCCTCATTATTTCTTTACTTTATACGCACTAGCATTTTTGTTTTTATGCAATTCATGTAATTAATATAAAATATACAGCCCAGATAGCACATGACGCCTTGAAGACGTCCATTTTACGGCTATTTTAGGTCTAAGGCGCCTTTAAGGCGTCATTAGACGTCGTGTGCTATCTGAGAGGTTATGTGACGCGTACAAAGAACTGTTGTTATATTCTCCACCAATCAGAGACAATCATGAAAAATCACGAATCACTGTAAAAAATCACCGCGATTGGGAACGAATGTCATCGAATCACTCATGATTTACAAGTAAGAGCAGTTTACGCCTCTAAAATCCAGTGCTCGTAGAACTCGGGTGAAAATTCATCCATTTTCTGTTTTCAGATAGTGTATTATGCTTGATTTCTTTCTAAATATGTTCCGACTTGATGTATTTGTTTAAAATATCATATTATGTGTAAAACACAAGTCGATGACATTTCCTTTATGATAGTAACGTCATAAAAAAAAAAAAGTAACGAAAGAATCCCTCGGGTGATATTTCACTCGAATACCGTTTATGGCTATTGTTTTAACTAAATATTATCTAATTTAAATGTGCTTCAGTAAAGTTTTATGCGAAAAATTCGTAGAAATTTAATTTCCAACACAATATGGGAATTCTTGGATCAACGTTTGGTAGATATTGTCCTTGACAATGACTATTATATGTTTTAGAAAGGAAAGTTTGGTTTATATGAAGTAGCGCGAAATTATTTCACAATAAATTGAATATTTTCAGTAAAATTCGCCGGAGACACGTGCAGAAGCCACCCTTCTGTGCGCGGGCTACGAGAGAATTTTATTTTATGACCATTACCAGTTCCGGAAAAGTTAATTTTTCCTGCTAGCCTTTTAAACAGCTTTTCATATGAACCGTTGGAATATAGAATCTAGGGTCACCCTTGGCGAGGTTTGTCAATATTGGTCATTTTCCTCTGTATTCTATTATAGATTCGATTTCCAACTCTAAGAACTAGTCATACTTAACTGTCTAATTTAATCACTCCCACAAGATATTAAGAAATTGCATATACCGTACGAGTTGCATAATAAGAATAATGTTCTCAGTAAGATTGTAGTTGATCTTTATTCCTACAACGGCCATACAGAACGAGTCGGTCTATTTTCAGGTTAAATATTGTAAACGGTATTATCCAGTTTATTATCAACCATCTGATCGTCGATCCAGTTGCGTAAATAAGCAACATTAGCGTAGACACCTGGAACAGTGCTGTTACCACATTCGATTCCCCATGCTACGATGCCCATTTGCTCGTACCTGGTGGGATCGCTTGTGCTGGGGCACATCAAAGGACTTCCTCCATCACCCTGATGAAGCAAATTACATACGTCACATATGAAGTACAATACCACACCGCTGTATGAAATTTTTAGAACACTTAAGCTGTTGTCATACCTTGCAAGTGTCTTTGCCAGACTCTCCACCGGCACAGATGAAACTCTCATGAAGACGGAAATATTTTCCTAATACGGTTTCGCGTAAATTACTTTGGCATGTATCGTGCGGGACGATCGGCAATTCAATTTTCTTCAGGATTATACTGTAGTAACCCTCTTTACCTAGAACGATCATTACAGTCAGATACCCGAGGTATATAAGGTATAACAAAAATATTGGAGGACCCGGAAATAGAAGACCTGTTACGTGATTTGAAACCAGTTTTTCCTTAGCAAAAATGTTATCCGAGGCTTTGTTAACGAGATATTAACGAAAAACCTCGACCAATCGCAGCGAGTAGCCAACGTTACCGCGAGAAATCGGTCGGAAGACTCGTGCTGTGATTGGTCAGGGTTTTTTGTTAATATCTCGTTAGCAAAGCCTAAGATAACATTTTTGCTAAGGAAAAACTTGTTTCAAATCACTTCACGAGTCTTCCATTTCCGGGTCCTCCAATATTTTTATTACACCCTGTGTACCATAAACAGCGGATTTTGAATGGAAGCCTATTGTTCCGTCAATTAAATTCGATCAGGACGGCCAACGAATATATTCCAAATGGACAACAAACGGAGCAGCTGGTTTCACAATTAATTGAATAGAATATAAATGTACTTACCGTATTTATCTTTTCCCCAGCCGCTGGCGAAACATCGAGATCCATTGTAGACGGTCTTATATGCTGGCAGGCATACGATATCGACATTCTCCGCGAGTTCAACTGGTTCGTTTAAGATCAACAGAGCGACGTCGTGGTAAAGAGAACCGGAATGATAGCTCTCATGGACGATCACCTTTTGCACATTGCGGTCCTGATGCGGAAAGATCTCGCTCATTGTCTGCGTGTCCCATTCACCCGCTCGAATTGTTATTTCCTGCGGTTGTATCCTATTTAACGGCGAATTATCAAGATGATTGTTCCACAATGTGCAACGAGGACAAGTTATTAGACGAAGAAAACGTACCCTACCACGCAATGAGCGGCTGTCAATACGGCCTGTTTGTGGATTAGAGAACCACCGCACTGGTACTTGAACTGCTTCTGCTTACCATCACCGATCCGTTCCTTCAAGATCACCACCATCCACGGGAACTCGCCGAATTGAGCCTCGTTGTCGTGCCCGGTGATCCGGAAACCAACACCATCAGGGTGTCGTTGCCCGCAACCCTTTCTTTCAGTAGGAGGTGGCATGATTTGTTCTCCAGGTTTGAGCTGGTCCGGCAGTTTGCAGCAGCGGTCTAGATAGTTTGTGCACCTAAATCGGATAATAGAGACCTGTATTGTACGTGTCTTGTGCTCTACGAGATTATAATTTTCTAGTGTCTGATAGTACAGTAGTTTAGTTTACAACGTGGTCGCTCGGGAGAGGGGAATTTCAATACTCCCCTCCAAGGCCCAGCCTTGGCTTTGGCGCCGGTGGCTATCACATTTGAGCAATTGAGACTACCGTGGACATTACCCGAGGAGAATATTTCCCCCGACTTTCCAACCGCTCCTACTTTTTAAGGCCCGGGCCACATGGAGGAAGTGAAGTACTCATGCGGGGGGGGGAGGCGCGGAGAGTCACTAGAATCGTCTTGATAGTACAGTAGACTCGCGTTAAAGTAGCGGTAGGAACGCCCCAACTCACACCCATAACTCAGACAGGTACGCGCACCCCACTATCAGTTGCCTACTGTAACCAAAGTTTTGATCCAATTGGTGGATCGACCAAACTGCCACGAGATCCTGCATGCCCATTGGCTCACGTTAAAGGTAGCATATCCAGGAAAAATCTATCTCAAGAGTCTCGCAGCGTTACTTTAACGTGAATCTACTGTAGTTTACATTTCAGAGTTGTAATTCAGGAGATAATGATGTTCTAAAAGAAATACATCTAGATAGGAGGGAGTGCACCTAAAAACAGTTTTACGAAGAATGCGGAATCATGAGATAGACGATATGTCGTGTGAAACTCCTAGTATTCTTGTTCTTAGCTGATGAATACAGTCCGACACCGAGCATTGTTCGTTTAGGCGTTGTCAAAAACGAAGCGTTGGCCCCTAGCCGTTTCGGGCGTTGGCCAGCTTGTCAGGGCCGTCATAAGAAGGAGTACCAAGCAATTCTCTTACGGCGGAAATACCTGATGCTGTTGTTAATAAATATAATTTTACTTATGAATTACAATAATCTTATTCAATAGACTTCGAGAGTAATCTCGTTGGCTACAGTGCAGTGTAACACGTGCACATCACAAAATAAACACACATAACCTCACAAACAGTGATACATACATATATACATATATACGTATACATATATTGTATACAGGGGCAGTCACCTAACATTTGCACCTCAAATATCTTTGTTGCTTTTAAAGATACGTCAAATGTCTTAAGGACAAAGTTGAATGGTTAAATAGGCCACGAGGCTCACACGAGGCCAAACAAATTTTTGTTCTTGTCATTTTTTTTGGAGATATCAAGGTCACCTTCGGTTTTTGAAATGGAACCATCCGTTTTTCCGTAACCTTGAATGACCTTGAATAATGATAGTCACTGAATTCCTAATGAAAGGGACTATCGCTGTAGGTGTTTAAAAAAAGGTGATTCCATTTTAAAAAATAAAGGTGACCTTGATATCTCCAAAAAAAATGACAAAACCAAAAATTTTTTTGATATCGTGTCAGCCCCATTGAACCATTTAACTTTATCTTTGAGACATTTGATGTATCTTTAAAAACAACAAAGATAATTGATGTGCAAACGTTAGGTGACTCACCCTGTATATGTATACATATGTATAATACATGTACATCATCATACACGTATTGCACGGATTTGTGTAATTTTAGGATAGTTCCATAAATTTATGTAATGTAGAAGTACGATTTAAACAGTTTAGGGTGCCCTTCTATATAGGCACCCTCACAGCTCTATGAACTATAGACACTCATGGTGCTTGAATGTAATTGGTAGGAAATTTCTTGTGTCTGTGGCCAACGCCTGAAGCATTCCGACTATGTGGTGGTCAATGCCCGGTGCCGTACTGTATTTACATATGTTATCAATGTTTTCAGATCGATCCTCAAGCAAACACGCTTGAACAGTTTGTGTTCATTCTGATCATCCCAGTCAGCCAAACTTGCAAAGCCAAATTTTTTCCAATGCTTGTTATAAAGTTATGGCTACAAGTTTGATGTAAAATTTGCTATAAACATCTTGCTCGCAAATTGGCATCAAGATAAGCAGCAAATTGACAGTAACAAACCTTGTTTTGCTCTCAATTTGACATAGATCATGTTGATCATGGTCATGCAAGCTGCATTGCTTGCAAAACCCAAGTCAAAAGCGGGAAACAGATGGCTATGGTTTTTTAGACAACTTTGTCATTTAATGCTGGCAATTTGCTCGAAACTTGTACGCAATTGGTTATCAGGGATAGAAGTTATCGTTATTAGTCCTGTATTGTCATAAAGACACTGTTTATTCTGTCCTAGAAACTAGTCTTTGAAAAACTCACTGGGTAAATTCATCCCTAAGATCAATCAGCCCAACTCCGTCAATCACAATGGTCCCGTTGCGGCAAAGGTAGTACGGTACGCATTCGCAGTCTTCCGGTTGTGGTTGAGGCTGCTTCTGCGTTTCTAAGGAAATTGACGATGTTGAGCTCTGCTGCTGCGTGAGCAAATTTAAGATCGTGGAGTCCAAATCATCGGAATGTTCCCGACCGATGGGCGGCTGAGTGTCGGGAGGGGGCCCAGACACGTTCAATATCGTGGCATTTAGATTTGAGTTCGGTTGTTCCTGAGGTGCAGCCAGAGAATAACTGGCCAGAACCAGAGTTAACAATACTTTCCACATCGCTGTGCTCGAGGTTCTGGAACAGAAACAGTAGGAGATTCTGTAGGCTCCTAAGAAATATAGTGTATAGTCTATTGAACAGGAATATGCCCAGATAATACATGACGCCTTGACGACGTCCATTTTATGGCTATTTTAGTCTAAAGCACCTTTAAAAGTACACTCCGGTCAAAAGTTTTCAAAAAAATCGATTGTTTTCTTTGCAAATTTCCATCATATAGCATCTCAAGAATGCTATGTTAACGTTTCAGTCAACAATTTGCAAAAGTATAGATTCGAAAAGCATATATTTACAACACGGTCATTTGAACAAAAATACTCGAACAAGCCTCCATTAGATCCAGAATTATAAGAAATTGTAAAACCAGTATACAAAACCTTGACTTCTAAAGAACTTCTAAGACGTTGTATAGGAAGAAATACTCAGAACAATAACGAAGCATTCAATAAGTGTATATGGCAGCTCGCTCCGAAACTCCGAAACACATGTTCTGTGGAAGAAACGTTCTTGAAATTTCGGCCTGGGTTTCGGTATGCGTGTTTAACGAAGGATGCAAACCTTTACTAACAATTGTGGACTTATTGGGCATTAATATCGGTCGCCACGCTAAAAATGTTGCCGTTGAGAGAGACCTAGGGTGTATCGCGGAAGCCAACCGTCGTAGTACGAGCGCATCAAAAGAAGATAAAATAGCTCGAAAAAAAAGAAAAAAGCGAGTTGGAAGTGGAATATAAAGTCACGGAAGGGTTGTTGTATGGTACAGTAATGGCTGATTAAAGGTGAAAACCTTTAACATTGATCTATGTACGTATGATTAAATCGAGAATAAAAAAAAACATTAAATGCGTTTTTCTCGGAATGTGATTTTTTTCCACGAGCGCCACGATAAAAAGTTTAATTATAGGCTGATTTTAAAAATTCTTGTGAAATTTTGTTCACAAGTCACGTCGCTATCGCGTTACCTACGAAGAGTAACTTTGGATCACTCACTTTTTTTTATACACAAATTTATATATGAAAAAGTCCGTTTTTTTGTAACATTCTGTTTAAACAGGTGCCAAAGATTGCAAGATTGTTTTTTTGGATCGAGGATAGATAAGGCGATAGCCATTAACACGTATTTTAAGAATATTCTTCTTTTTTTGACTTAAGACAATCCTATCATGAGTTCTAATGGTGCCTGTTAAGACCTCGAATTTGAAATTTAAACAATAACATTTTTTTTGTATTTTTCAAATATGTAGCAACAAGGATCAAACCGGTGTTTTACCATATGCTGTTCCCTTGTCTTTTTATAAATTCTTGAAAATCACATACTTGTCGAGCGTTTTGACCGGAGGGTACCCTTAAACCGCCTTCAGTGTGTTTCAGTTCGAAGGGTTAAATCAACTATCTGCACTGCTAATGAGTATTTACGAATACAATGATTAATTACCGTTATTCGCGCTATCGACTCCGCGGAAAACGATTAAGACTTAAGAATATTTTTTTGTAAGCATAAGTAAAGACGATATCACGGTCTCGTAAAGAAAACCAGCGTCGCGAATGAGTCCTTTAACCCTTTCGCTACGGCAGACTTTGAGATATACCGCGCGCGACGTAAAGCCAGGTCCATACACGTGCAACGCGCATTGCAGTGTTAAGTTCCGCGTTGCGGTCGTTATTCTACTTATAATTTCGGGTCCTGGTTCTTTTAAGGTGCTAAAGCACGCCCTGTCTAAACTTACCGGTGAAGTACGTAGTTTTGATATGGAACGGGAGAAATAGGAAATCACTCTTGTTTATAATAATAATAAATATATATTCTAACAATAGGATATAACAGGATATAACAGCAGAACACTCTTGAAAGAGTTGATTTTAATGGATCGACGCGCAGCTAACGACTTCGTGCAATGTCAAGCCGAACACGAGCATTAAATTCTGACGCGCATCGTAGAAAATATCAGAAGAAATGTCTATGTATTTGTTATCATGACTACCCGAACATTAATTATTGTGTTACAAAAAAGAAAATTATATCTCTATGCCGGGCGTATAAAAAATTAATTTTGAAAGAGTTACAAGCCTACTTTTTCTGTCCCAATTTTACTTTATTATGAAAAAAATGTAACATTAATTTTCAGTGTCGTAAACAACCTCGCGGAAAGGTTTTTTTAAGAAATTTCCACCGATCCAGATGTGCATTCACTCTATTGCCATGACAAATTACTTTTTCACACTTTATGCAGTTGCGTTTTGTCATGTACAAAATTATGAGTGTACAAAACGGATCATAAAAGATATAAGCTTACGATATGTATGTATTACGATATTTACATCAACCGGATCATAGACGATATAAGCTTACGATATGTATGTATTACGTTCGACGATATGATAATAATTCGTCTAATTTTATAATAATGCTGTACATCTACAAGGTTTTCCAAATATTGCGTATCCAGAAATGCGTTGTAATTGGAGGCTGAACAGGAACACGATAAGGAGGTAAATAAAAATAGCGTTTCAGATTGAGTTCTTGGTATCGATGGTCGGACAAAATAATTACGTACCATGGACCATGAGACGAAACAGTACAGTCAACTTGAATGGTTCAAGGTGATCAAGTTTGTTGCTGAAGAAGTTGCATTCTCGACTCGCCCGACAGCCATGGGCGTAGTCAAGGGGGGCCAAGGGAGCACTTGCCGCCCTCCCCCCTGGGCGGAAAAAAGTGGCGTTTACCCCACCCTACAAAAAAAATTTGGATTTTGCCCCCCCTCCCATCCCAGAGTTATAAAATTTTTGAAGAATATTTAATATTGTAGTATAATTTGAAATACAACCAACAGCCTCTGTTAACAAATCCCATACATTTTCAACGATTTATGACTGTAAAAACAAAATAAAGTGTGTCTGGTTACGCGCAGCTTTTTTCACTGTGGCGGTCGACGTGTTATTTATTGATTCATTACGAATTCAAAAATGAATCGAGAAGAACAGTTCAGTTCAATTGTAATACACCTGACTACTTTGTACACGGTCCTTTCTTAACAAGAAAATACACGGTCGAAGAAAAAAAACTGCCTTCCTTCTTTTTACACGGTTTATTTCCTTTAACACGGTGCAAGAAAAAAACCGTCTGTATTTTTTTATACAGAAGAGCAAAAGAAGAAACAGATTTTCTGACAGAAATGTCAATACCGTAAAAACTTTTGGAATGCAGTCAATCTATTCAAACTTTCATAACCGGACGAAAATCTCCATTGGATTGAAACTTGGCAGATATGGGAGATCCTGGCCGTAAACATATGCGATTATTATTAAGTATTTTTAGTATTTTTTATTGAAAATGTTTAATTTTTTCGTTTTGCGATATTTATGTGATAATAATTTTATTTTAGTTATAATATAATTGAAATGTGTATGAATTTTATTTTGCTGTCGAATATTTAACTGTATTTACATATAAATTTTCGTCACTTTTTTTACACGATTTTTTGAATGAAATATAATTTTTTATTTCATCTTACATGGTTTTTTAATAACTTGGAACATATCTCCCATTTTACTATAGGAAACATTTTGTTCGCACAATTTTTTGAGGAAGTATCTGCCGTGTAAAAATAAGAGTTGCGTGTACATAAGGTTGAAGATAAAAAATGTTAGTTGTGGAATAAGGAATCTCTGTAATTTCCGAGTATCACGATAACTGTAATCATCGCATGTTAAGAGAATCGACAGGGCTCACAGTATTCGCAAACAACAGACCTGTTTACTTTCAAAAGAAGAAAGCCAAGTATAACAGAATTTTCATTAATCCCTCGTGCGAAACGGCAAGCTCACCGCGTCCAAGGAACTCGTCCTCGGACCTCGAATTATACATACAGTATGTCCAAAAAGTATTCCGTACACCCTTAAAAATAGAACAACTCTTTCAAAATTGGGCCAAGTAACTTGAGTTTCTTTGTGAAGTTAGAAGAATTAGTTTACTAAATGATGTGTTAAAATAATTGTGAAAAATTGGCGACTTTTCTGAATGTCGAAAAAAATAGTAAATGTCGTTTTTAACAACTCTTTTCTCTGAGACTGTAATGAAAATTTAATAAATACATTTCGAGGATTTATGTCAGTTATATACATACTACAACTTTGATTGAAATCTGTTAATACAGAAACGAGTAACAGGTATCGAAAGATGTAAGAATCTTTAGATATACTACCGTTGTAGGTCAAAAGTCGCGAAAAACTACGTTTTTAAACATTATCAACCGTTTGTATCTCATAACAACATTGACCGATTTCGATGAAATTTTCAGCATGAATATAACTAACATAAATCGAAGCAATGTATTCGTTAGATTTCCATTACAAACTCAGATAAAATAGTCGTAAAAAGCGACCTTTACTATTTTCTTCGCGACCAATTATTCCAACCAAGTGCAACTTTTTCAACATTTTGTTAACACATCATTTAGTATATTAATCCTTCTAACTTCACAAAGAAACTCAAGTCACTTGGTCCAATTTTGAAAGAGTTGTTCTGTTTTATAGGGTGTATGAATACTTTTTGATCACTGTATACCAAACAACGATGGATCACTCACCGTGTATAGATCACAGATGCCACGGGACGAGTTCTCCCTTCGAGGAACACCACGCGATTGCGACGTGCCGGACACCGAATCCGCGATTTGTTCGCTAAAGTTCGCCTACGCACACAGCAGCCAGAGGTCCGAGGTGCTACAGTAACTCACGAAACTATTCCCAGATAGAACCGTCCATCCAACGGACGTCCGTTTTATGTCCAGCTTATGTCCGAAAGTCCTACGTCTACTTTGGACATCCCTAGGATGTTCGTGGGACTTAAATTTCGGATGTTCTAGAAATGTCTGTCCCGAAAGTCTTACGGATGTTCTTAAGACTTAAATTTCGGATGTTCTAGAAAGGTCCGTCCCGAAAGTCCTACGGATGTTGTCAAGACTTAAATTTCAGATGTTCTAGGAATGTCCGTTTCTTAAGTCTTACGAATCTTC